GTTCCCTAAGGGAACGGCCATAACTGCCAAGGTTGCTTGCGTTGCTGAGGTTGCCAGCGTTGCCCAGTCGTTATAGGACCATGATGGCCTCTGCGTTTCGCGCGCTCTCTAAGCTGGCTCTGACCCCGGCAACGCCGATAACCTCGGTAACTTCGGCAACGCCAGCAACCTCAGCAATCGCGTTCCGTAATTTAGCTGGACGAGTGGGACAGTCCCCACAAAGTTCAATGCGCAGATTCGCTGTAGCAATCCATGTTCTTGACTATGGGGCTACGTTTACCGCCGAAGGGTGGGCTCGGGCGAGCATCTGCAAATGTGAACCTAACAATATGGTTTACACAAATTAATTGAAGGAAGAGAAGGATCACAATGAATTGGGCCCCTTTTGTGTTTTCTGGCGCATACACATGCCACATCTGATGCAGTGATTCCAGCTGCTTTACTCGCTAATTTCTATGCAGAACCAGAAAATTAAAATTTGTTTACCCCCAATTACAGAGCTACCTCATGAAGCTGGGATGGATGGATTAGTGCTATTTTTGATAGACTTACACATTCGCTTAGTAACATGGAGATACTGATTCTATGTTACAAAGCGTTGGATGTCACTCCATAGTCCAAAACTTGTAGATGTCTGCGTTATCCACACAAAAGGCGAATTCGTCTGTGCGTGTGCGAAGATTGCCAGTGACAGCTATTGATGACACAGCGGCATACTGTAGTGCTGGCAGTGACTGTAGGCATGGTGCTTATGAGTTTGGCAGACAGAAAAGCTATACATAAGTTTTTAATAACTGCCGATGAATTCTTAAACAGCGATTCTGAACGTACACAGGCTACTGTACTCGCTCGGATCATGTTCGAGATATGGTATGTCTTGATACGGTAGAATCGTTCGTTAAATATTTAGACCTTAGCGAATACTTAACCAAAGCTCAGAGATTGTCTCGATTAACTCGATAATCCGAAAACACTGAAACTCAAACTATGCATTCGAAGAGAAAGTTGCCTCGACTTGCCTTGTATCTACAGCACCCTAAGTTAAAGATATGCACAGATATTATTGAATTTTCCTCTTTTTGAAAAGCTTGAGGATACCGAGTCTTTTTCCTTATTCTATCTCTAAACGAAGACGAACTCAGCATTGACAAATCACGGGTTGTCTGGTGTTCAGATGTCTTCGAAGCCCCGCCCCCATGAGGTGAATGCTTCGTTATCAGTTGCCTTCCGGTGCATATCGCTATGTTTATAAGGGGTGCTACGTCTCCATATCACCGCAGCACTTCATCGTTGGTCATCTGCTCAGTAACGAAATGAAATCACAAGACGTTACCTCTATGAATCTCTTGCCTTCTGCTTTATCTATCGACTCTTATACGGATACCTGTGCCCCTATGGGTATGTTCAACCGGCCTTCATCAAAATTATAATAGTTTCATAAACATAAATCTTTCAGCTTCCTATCCAACACTGCCTCTTCAGCAGCTATTACCTTTCAATTTTCTTCTGAACCCTTCGATGCTATCGTCATTTCTACCTCCTCTTCCAAGCCAACTTACATCTGCCTCACAATCCCCGTTTGGGTAAGTAAAATTCACACTTTCTCAGCAATTCTTCC